ATATATATATATATATATATATATATATATACACACACACATACATACATATACACATACATATACATACATACACACACACACACACAAGGAAAGGAGAAGGAAACCAGAAAGTTTCACTACAATAAGACAACAAAACACAAATGTCAGCAATACTAAAGGACAAAAACAAAGCTTTAGACAAACAACAGCAACAAATAGAATACAGGAAAGCAAAACCAGAAGTTAGTTTGACAAGATCAATAAAACTGGCAAAACTTTAGCTAGACTAGGAGCTCTGGTGGTGCAGTGGTTAAAGCATTTGGCTGCTAACCAAAAGGCTGATGGTTCAAACCTACCAGCTGTTCCTTAGGAGATAGATGAGGCAGTTTGCTTCCGTAAAGATTTACAGTGTCTGTTTAGGGTTTGGTGTCTGTGTGTGTCCTCAATGGGAGGATGGTGAGGGCAGCTTCAGCAGCAGGAAGACAAAGGGCCCAGTGCTAGGCAGGCTGGAAGGAGAGGCAGCCTGCAGAGGCTCAAGCCCATCTGTGTGAGGGGATGTGGATCCTGGCTTGCCCCTCTCTTCCCTGAGATTTGGGGTGATGGTCATGTTTAAAATGTCTGTGTTTCTTTTTCATTTCTCAAGTACCTTACTTGGCTCATGTAACTGTTCTGGTGTGCTCACCTCTGACCCCACAGGGGTGGGAGTCAGGGTGCCTGGTTCTACTCCAGAATCTGCCATCTGCTAGCTGTGTGGACCGTAGGAAATATATCTGATCTCTCTCTGCCTTGTTTTCCTCATCAGTGAAATGAGGTTCACAATGATCTCTACCTCATGGGGGTTTTGTGATGATTAAGCAAGTAAAGCACTTAGAACATAGAACAGAGCTGGGTGGTGTGTAAGTGCTAGTTATCCTTTCTCAAGTCCCAAAGCAATCACCTGCATCCCAGGGGCACAGACTTTTGCCAGAGTCCGTGGTTTTCCTTCCATCCCTTTCAGGTCTTGGTCAACAAGAGTTACCTCTGGATTGAGGAGGAAGTCTGGCGGAAGGAAATCTACCTTTCCCTGGGAATACTGGCCTTTGGCACGCTGTCCCTGTTGGCTGTCACCTCGCTGCCATCCATCGCAAACTTACTCAACTGGAGGGAGTTCAGCTTCATTCAGGTAAAGCAAGCCTGGCCCTCAGCTCATGAGCAGTCAGCAGGATATGGCCCTTGCCTGTCTGGGTGCATGACTGCCACAGTGAACTGCCTCTGCTATACTGATCTATATAGCAAGCAGCAAGATAACTCATCAAATACCAGGGCCTTCATATCCAAGTTTCCTAATAAAGGGACAGGCTGAGATAAAACTCTTCCTCCTGATATCTAGGGAAGCCTGATATAGATGTGTGAAACAAATACAGAAGAGAGCACTGAACTCAGTATTAAGCATTCTCAATATCTACAGTTCTTGAGCTTTCCAAACAAAAATCCATAATGTATAGTTATTGGATATTTTGCTGGTCAAAGTGGAGGGTCAGTGAGCTAGTTAGTGAGCCTAGCCGACCACTCAACACTCTCATCTCAACCCTGCTTTCTTGTTCTCTTTAGTCCCTTGAGTCTTGCAGGGTGGATAAGAAGTGAGCATTATGATCATCAGTTTACAGGGGATGAAGCTATCCAGTAGCAAAGAGTTTCCCAGAGGACAACACTATTCCCATAAAAATTATAGAGGTCTGTGGTCAAATACATTTGAGAAATGATTTGCCTCCCCCTTAAAATATTCAAATGGGAGCTCTGGTAGCATAGTGCCTAAGGCACTTGACTGCTAACCAGAAAGCTGGTGGTTTAAACCCACCAGCCACTCCTTGGAAGGAAGGTTGGGCAATCTACTTTTGTAGTGATACTGCCTCGGAAACCCAAGAAGGGGTCGCTATGAGTTGGGTCCAACTTGACGGCACATAACAACAACAACAACAAAATATTTAAATGCTTTAGACACTGCACCACCAAGATCCCTAAAATATTCACAGATTCTCTGGGTATGCGAGTAGTTAATGTACTTGGCTACTAACTGAAGGTTGGACGTTTGAGTCCACTGAGAGTTGCTACAGAAGAAAGGCCTGGTGATCTACATCTGAAGGATCAGCCACTGAAAACCTCATGGGTCATAGTTCTTCCTTGACATTCATAGGGTTGCCATGATTGAAGGTGACTCGACAGCAGCTGGGTTAAGAGAGTCATAGTGCCCTTTAGCACATCAAAGACCTCACTAAGATCTACTACAGCTGACAAACCTTATTAGCCAGACTTACTCAAGCATTAACCCTCACCTCCCTTTTTTCCTAGACAATAGTTATCAACCCCACAGACTATATTTCAGAAAGTGCTGCTAGTGGAGAAAGGTTGTTTATACATTTGTTCATGTAATAAACACAGAGCATTTCATGCATGTCAGGCACCGTGCTAGGTCTAAGATACAATGGGAATAAGACAGAAAGAGTTATGTTTCAACTTACAAAGGCAACTGAGATGGGGACATTTCTTTGGCATCTCCTACTGTATGTGGTCAGCTAATAAGTGGGTTGGTGGATTCTTTCATCCCCTCCCATGGATGGAAGCCTATTAATCCTGAGTCTTCCTCTGTACTGCATCAGGACAGAGAACAGCTCTACCATCCACCCTCATTGTCACAGAAATTTGTTGAGAACTTTCTCTGTGCAGTGACTTAGTAGGACACTCAGGGATACTGACATTACTCTTGTATAATCCAAACACCTAACAATTACAATAATTGTTTCTGATTGGTGACACATAATATGCCTTAGAACAAAAATTTAAAGTTGGGCTTTTTAAAAAGAGTGTGTCTGTTTCTGTAACTCCTTGGCTCTGCTTGTCTCAGAAGGTCCATTTTATTTTTCTGCTGCTAATCTTCATGTGTCTCACACCTGAATCTAGGATTTTCCTGTTTCTGCCTGAGTATCCTGGGGTACCTGATTTATCCACAATTAAAACAGACTGCAGGTTGCTCTTCTCACCAGAAAGTTGCTCCCTTAAGCAGCAGTAGATTACATGCCCCGGCTCTGGCTGCTGGAGAAAGCCAGAGGATTTGATTTTGTTAGCAAATGCTGGCTGGGACCTCAGCAGCCACATTCTGCTTTACATATTTAAGAGTCCAAAGAAAAGTGTGAAAGTCCTGCTTCTGTAAGAGCAGGGAGGGAGGATTGGAGGGCCAAGAGGTGGGTAGAAAGGCAAGATTTTACTTATGGAAATCAAATGCCCACATTCCATCCATGAAAACAGTGTGTTTTGCCTCCTGCCAGTGCCAATATGTCAGTGCCTGGGATGTCCCTCTCCCAGCTCTGCATCCCCATGTCCCACCTCTATAAACACGGGCAGATACATCAACTCCCTGAGTTTCAGTCTGCACTCCTAAACAGTGGTGCTAATGCTGTGTAGGGATTTTGTGATTCACAGTGAAAGGTTATATGTGAAAGAAACAGAAAAAGCCTTTTGGTATTATGAGGGTCTCTGGCCATATTTCCATTATCCCTGATTAAGCTACCCATTTCTGAGCCCAATAGGAGGCAGTAATATAGAAGGCAGAGATCCCTACCCTGGGCTTCAGAATAGTCCAGGTCAGTGTTTTCAGACTGGTTGAAACTCATTCCAAAAAAATTAAATGTGTTGTCATTGAGTCTGTTTCAACAAAGAGACCTCATGTGTTACATAGTAGAATGGCTTCATAGGGTTCTCCTGGTTGGAAAGGAAGCAGACCACAAGGCCTTTCTTCTGTGGTCCCTACGGGTGGGTTCAAATCACCAAATGTTAGGTGGTTGTTGTTGTTGTTGTTGTGTGCTGTAGTTAGTAGAGTACAAACCATTTGCACCACAAAGGGACCTAGAAACTCATTAGTGAGTCGTGAAATCAATTTAGTGAGTTACAACCAGCGTTTTTTAAATGAAAGAGAATAAAATGCCAAAGAAAATATCAGTGCTTTGCACGTTTTAAGGACCAATATTTTTTTTCAGTTGTTAACATTGATTCAATTGTTGATAAATGCATGTGGTACATATGGTTGTACATTGGGCAGTCATATAAAATGTGATTCTTGGTATTAACCACCATCAAAAAGTTTGAGGTCACAGAACATGCTTGGAAAATGCAGATTCCCAGGCAACCCCAGCCCTACAGACTCTCTGAGGTGGCTTGGAAGTCTGTATTTTTGCAAGCTCTCTGAGTGGACCTTATATATGGTAAATATTTAACAAATTGTAAATATACACATATATGTGTGTGTGTGTGTTTGTAACAAAATTGCCTTTTCAACATTAACATGTACAATTCAGTAACATTAGTTATGTTTATCCTGTTGTTCAAGCATCTCCACTATCCATTTCCAAATTTTCCTATAACCCTTAGCAGGAGTTCAATTTCCCTTAAGTGATGAGTCCCCCTTTTCCCCTCCTTCCCTCCTGCCCCTGGTACCCACAAATGAATTTTAGTCTCTATATACTTGCCTGTCCTAGATAGTTCATATAAGTGGGATTGTATGATATTTGTTCCCTGGATGGCTCTTAACTACACAGACTACAGTGTGTGAAAGCCACAGGTGGAGTCAGCAGACCTGGGTTAAGTCCCAAGCCCACCATTCACCAGCCCTGAGCCGTTAGTCTTCTTAGCCTCTCAGGGCTCTACTTCCCCATCTCTGACTGTCCACTTCATAGGTCACTGGGGGCTTCCAGTTGAGTGCATGTAAAATGTGTAATGCATGTGCTCATTAATGGCTTTGTGAATTCCAAGGTCAGCTGCAACCTTCTGTAAAATTAGCATTGCGGGGAGCTCTGGTAGCATAGTGGCTAAGGCACTTGACTGCTAACCAGAAGGCAGAAGGTTGGGCAATCCTACTTCCGTAGTGATACTGCCTCGGAAACCCAAGGAGGGGTCGCTATGAGTCAGGGCTGACTCAACGGCACATAACAACAACAACAACAAGGAGCTTACCGAACCCCACTTCTTTCCCCTGCCACCCACAACCGCTGCAGGCCCCAGGTGTACAAATGCCACAGGAAGGTGGAGATGGCCATTGTTCTCAATGGGCCTGCTCTAACCCCTGGGTCTTCAATGATTTATTTATGCAAAAGCCATTGAAACAGTGTGTTAGTTCCACAAAGAGGTGATTTACCCTTTGTCTTCCAATGCTTTTTTCAAAGTTGTTTATATTGTTTTTGTTTGGGTGTTCTTTTGTTTGTTTCATTTTTGGTTGTGCTAAATGCTCCTACTTAAGCAATTAAATGTCTTTTGATTGCAAAACACCCAGGCGGGTGCAACTGACGCAGACAGAGAAATCAGAGGTCAGCACCTAGCACCTAAGTTCTGTCCCAAAGCTAGAGGAACTTCCTGTGACCTTGTCCATTCCAGCCACCCATCTTAAATAATGATAGAGACCAGCACTGACCCCAGCTTCATGAGTGATTGTCCAAGGCCCCTTCACACCATAGTAATTGAGCACTAACAGGAGTCACCCACAACCTAGCTGTTTTCTCTTTTGCTAACAAGCTTACCTGTAATAAAAATGGCCCTGGCTTAGGGGTCATTAATTATCCCATGACAATCTCTCCCTTCCTTTTGGTCCCCTTTGGCCGTTCTGGGATCTTCAAATTGTTCCCTAGGAGAGATTTTTAGGGAAACAAACTAGCTAGAGTCATCCTTGCTTCCCATGGGGACTGAATATCAAAAGGTCCTTTGTTCTTGGTTGGTTTTTGGCTGTCAGCCTTCCCTATGAACCATTGGCCTGAGGCTGGGGATTCTGCCATCTGTCACCACAGGATTTTGGATGGCACAGGAATAGTGATGTGTAAAGGGTGGATCTCACTACTGCTGGTAGGCCCAGGAGCAGCTTCCCACACTTGTTCCCAATGCAGAGACCCACATGCCAGCACAGTCCATTACTCTCCAAATTAGGGCCTGGGGATGGTGGCTCACTTGCCCTACAACCTTGGGTGGGTTCTTACTGGGGCATTATCTGAGAAAGGCCCTTGATACAACAGCACTGGTGCACAGAAACCATCATATTATTTTTTTTCCCAATAAACAGATAGCTGTTGGTCCTTCCCAATCAAATGCCTTGAGCATTGGGGCCTATGTGGAATTCATAACTAAAGCTAGAAGAACTTGGGTGACTAGAACCTATATTAATGAATGTCAGCCCTGGCTGGACATTACAATCATCTGCTGAGCATTTAAAAAACAGATGTTTGAGTCCCACTCCAAACCAATTTAATCAGAATTTCTAGGGGTGGGTTTTAAATTATTTTTTTCCAAGCTCCCTGGGTGATTTTTAACATGTAGCCAGGTTTTAAAATCATGGTGTCAGACCTCCCAGTCATCTCGGCAAACTCCAGAAACTCCACAAGTTGTGGGGCTGGAAGGAACGGTTTTGGGCTTCGAGCACCTAGTTGGGTTATGTCAGGATGAATGACAGGCTTATTCAAGACTTATTCCAGATGGGCAGTACTGGGACCCTTTTTAACCCTGGTCTTCAATAAACAATAGAAAAAGTTGGTATGGTTCAGAGGTTGATGCTAGGATATTTTGAATTGATAGACATTTCTATAAGAATATCCATGAGGTGGTCACAAAACCAAGAAGAACCAGAGATGGTTAGGAAGGCTGAAGACTGGGGAGACTGGGGTCTTTTTTTTTTTTTTTTTGACTTATAAGAACAGAAGTTTTTTGTTTCACAGTTCTGGAGTCTGGGAGTCTGAATTCAGGGTGTCAGCCAGGTTGATTCCTTCTGAGGCTTTGAGGGAGAATCTGTTCCACATCTCTCTCCTAGCTTCTAGTTCTTCCAGACATTCCTTAACTTGCAGCTGAAGCTTCATATAGCATCCTTCCTCTGTCACCTTGTGTCTCCATATCTTCTCCTCTTTTATAGGGACATCAGTAATGTAGGATTAGGACCTACCCTACTCCAATCATGACCTCATGTTAACCTAACTGATAATATCTTCATATAATGACAACATCCCTATTTCCAAACAGGATCAGATACACTGGTACAGGACTTAGGACTTTAGGATATCTTTGAGGGGATACAGTTCAATCCAAACAATCAGTTAGTAAATTGAGACTGGGGATCTTATAATAGCAAGTTCTTTTATTTAGGGTCTAATTATACATGAGGACCAGTCTATGAAATGATAGTGCATTAAAAAAAGAAAGAAAAAGCCAAACCAGTTGCCATCAAGTTGATTCTGACTCGTGACAAAGCCATTTGTGTCAGAGTGCAGCTATGCTCCACAGAATTTTCAGTGGCTGATTTTTCTGAAGTAGGTCTCTAGAGCTTTCTTCCAAGGTGCATCTGGGTTAGTAGCTAAATTCTTCCCCTGACTTTAGATCAACTCCACAGCAACTGATTATAGTGCATAGCCTTTGGAGAATATTTATTTTATTATTTTTAACAAAAGCAATACTTCAGTGTTTTCATTAACCAAGGCTCACCATACTGAAGTTGGTCCTGGTACGGCCCCCCTATATCAGAGAAGAGCCGAGAGTGCTACCCAGTAGCAGAATCAGACCCACTTAGAAACATGCTCCAGGGGAGACCAAACAAGCCAGCATCTTTAGCAAAGTCCATGGATCAGTGCTGACAGGCTGGGCTCAAAGGAAATCCAGGAGGCCCAATTGCAGCTTCTCTGTGGAAGGCTCAAACCAGATCTATAAAGAACATTGAGGTTATTAGCATACCACCACATTTAAATTAAACCCTTGCAATATTTCCTTGGAGAAAATACATGTGTTAATTGATTGATGAGTCCCTGTTATTTTCATTTCTCATGTAATAAACACACAGAGTTGCCACGAGTCAGAATCAGAATCAACTCAAATGCAATATGTTTGGGGTGTATTTTGGATATGCAATAAACACAGGTCTCTCCTGACCCAAATCTCTCAGTAGTTCCTCACTGTTTATTGAATTCAGACAAAACTGCACCTGTGCTCAACTCCCTGCCCCCTATAAAGAATCCCCAGTGCCCTCTTCCCTTCCTTGTTTCCTGAATCATCTGCAAGAGGGAGGGATGCCTCGTCTACACAGTGCTGATGCTTGTCCTCGTGCGTACTCTCCCACTTTAATTTTTGGAATTATTTCCTTCTCCCTGAGCTAATTGAATAACTCCTCCACTGTCACAGAGTCAGTCAATCCTTACACCAACAGCAGAATCTGGAATTCATAGAGTCTGGACTTTCAGAGAAGCACTTCCCAGCCATTTTCTTGTCCCTAACCAAAAAAAGAAAAAAAAAAAAAAAACACTGTTATCAAGTCAATTCCAACTCATAGTGACCCCCATTGGATTTTCAAGTCTTTAAATCTTTATGGAAGTAGATTGCTTCACCTTCCTCTTACAGAACAGCTAGTGAGTTTAAACCACTGACCTTCTGGTTAACAAATGGTTAACATGTTTCACTGCTAACCAAATGGTTGGCAGTTTGGGTTGGTGGTTCAAGTCCACCCAAAGGCACCTCAGAAGAAAAGCCTGGAGATCTTCTTCTGAAAAATCAGCCATCAAAAACCCTGCTTCACATGGGCTTGCTGTGAGTTGGAATGGACTCAACAGCAAATTTTCTTATCTGGCCTCATTTAAGGTCAAGTAACATCTGAAATTATTATTTTGGTTTGCTGCAATATGTTTATTATTCTGATAAATATTAAAATATACATGTTGTTTTTGTTGTTGTTATGTGCCGTCAAGTCAGACCTGACTCATAGCGACCCCTCCTTGGGTTGCCAAGACAGTATCATTACAGAAGTAGATTGCCCAACCTTCCTTCCGAGGAGTGGCTGGTGGGTTTGAACCGCCAGCCTTTTGGTTAGCAGTCAAGTGCCTTAGGCACTATGCTACCAGAGCTCCTTAAAATATACATAGAATTAGTAAAATATTTTTATATTTCTTTGCACTTAATTCCAGCTAAAGCCATCTGCTGGCCACCATGGGTATGTATAACACACTTTGGAAAAAACCATTGTATGCATCTTATGGAGTAATTCCATTAAACCTTATATATTATCAGAGTAGAAGAGCATTCCCATTTTCAGTCAAGGAAACTGACGCTCATAGAGTTTAGGTAATAATAGTAAGATGATGAATAAGAAGGTTGGGATTAGGACCCAGAGCTCTGGCTACAAATGCTGCCCTCCTTCCCCTCCACCAGGAGGGTGGATGAGCCATTGGCGGGATCCCTGTGTCTCTCATCATTCTGGCCTTCCTTCTGCTTGCAGCTGTGTCAAAGCCTTCTTTTCCTTCTGCAGTCCACTCTGGGCTTTGTGGCCCTTGTGCTGAGCACACTGCACACGCTCACCTATGGCTGGTCCCGTGCCTTCGAGGAGAGCTCCTACAAGTTCTACCTGCCTCCCACCTTCACGCTCACGCTGCTGGTGCCCTGTTTGGTCATCTTGGCCAGAGGCCTGTTACTCCTGCCCTGCTTCAGCCACAGACTCGCCAAGATCCGGAGGGGCTGGGAGAAGGCAGACAGCATACAGTTCATTCTGCCCGAGGACCACACCCTTGCCCAGAAGACAAGCTGCGTGTGAGGTGCCTGATCCCTCTGGAAACTCTGAGCACAGTTAGGCTGCTTCTTTTGATTGTATGTTATTGTTGTTGTTGTTATGTGCCTTTGAGTCGGCCCCAATTCATTGTGACCCTTCCTTGGGTTTCCGAGGCAGTATCACTACAGCAGTAGATTGCCCAACCTTCCTTCCGAGGAGTGGCTGGTGGATTTGAACTGCCAGCCTTCTGGTTAGCAGTCAAGTGCCTTAGGCACTATGCTACCAAAGCTCTCATGTGAAACCTAGAACTGTAAAATTCATCAGAGAAAAAATAGGGACAAAGTTACGGGCCCTAATGTATGGCATAAATAGACTATCAAGCATAGCCCAGAATTCACAAACAGCAGAAGATAAACTAAATGGTTGGGACCTTCTAAAAATTAAATTCTTACGTGCATCAAAAGACTTCTCCAAAAGAGTCAAAAGCTATCCTACAAAATGGGAAAAAATATTTGGCAATGACATATCTGATATGTGACTTACGTATAACATTTATAAAAAACTCCAACACCTCAACATCAAAAAGACAAACAATTCAATTAAAAAATGGCAGAATACATGAAGTGACACGTCACCAAAGAAGATATTCAGGTGACCAACAAACACATGAAGACATGTTCATGATCATTAGCCATTGTTGTTGTTGTTGTTATGTGCTGTCGAGTGGGACCCAACTCATAGCGACCCCTCCTTGGGTTTCCGAGGCAGTATCACTATGGAAGTAGATTGCCCCATCTTTCTTCCAAAGAGTGGCTGATGTGTTTGAACCTCCAGCCTTATGATTAGCAGTCAAGTGCCTTCAGCACTATACTATTAGCCATTGTTGTTGTTGTTGTTATGTGCTGTCGAGTCAGACCCGACTCATAGCGACCCCTCCTTGGGTTT